CAGATGGCATCTGCTTTGTCACTCCAGTCTTTTCCCTTGAAGTACTTGTTGAAGAAGCCCTCAACATTCTGAAATGTGCAGTCGCATATCTCCTCAAAGATTCTCATATTCACCAACTCGCGTGTCTGCTCGGAGTCTTTCTGTGATGATGAGGTCGATTTTACTGGCGTGCCAGTAAAGAAAGGGGGGATGCTTGTCAGTGGAGGAATTGATTGTGGGATGGTAACTGTGAGATCAAGAACTGCCTTCCAGATATCAACATCTGGTGCATTTTGAATGATGAGCTGCACCAACGGTTGAAATTGGTTGTAGTTGAAATTGCCCTTGCGAACGTGTGTAAGGATACCAGCAAGAATAAAAGCCACATCATGATTTCTTTCAGACTGAAGGTCAAGAGTTATATCTTGCTCCCAAAAAAAAATAAGAAGTTTTGATATTGCCCTTTGACAGATTTCATCCTGAGGATCAGCTGAGACATCATATGCTTGCTCTGCCTCCTGAAGTAGGCCTCGCAGCGAATTTAGTGAGTCATTAAAAGGATGCTTTGCAATGATATCATAATCATGAGGTGAAAGGGTGGCCATATGTGATGTAGTGGCACAGGCAGCAATAGAAGAGATAGGGAAGCAAGGGAGTGAATTGAAAAGTTTGTTTAACTGTGTGTCAGGATATCTCAAATCTCAACAGCTAATGTTGTATCAAACTGAGCTGTGTATTCCTTGCATCGATGTTATCCCCTCGTCCGTCTTTTGTTGCACAATTAGCGTGGTATCACTAGGCGTAAAATAAAGGCATTTGTCAGCATGTCTCAACCAATAGGTTCACGCACTATTTTGTATGGGCTGCTATTGGTCACTACAGATCCACACTTTCGCGATTTTCATGTAAGCAGAAAGTGCGTTGAGAATTCAGACCTACCTACATGCCTACCATGGAGCCCTACCCACCTGCAAATATGGAACCTACAGGGAATTCAGATGATTTTCTAGAATCCTGATCTTAATCTATGCATCAAATAACTAATATATTCTCTAGAATCTATGAAAAAGCCAGGTAGAACCTCTACAAAGTGAAAATGAGCAATTGAGGAAGTCATTGCAGAGATACCACCTCTAGAATCAGTCAAATTTCTTCCTCTAGAACCTAGTTCACGGCTGTCAAATCTTCATATTCCACCAGATATTGATGTTCAAAGCCCCTATGTCTTATTTACCTTATTCTTCTCTGAAGATTCCATTCATAATATTGTCAATTCAACCAATCTCTATGCAAAATTGAAGGGAGATGATGGAGATACTGATAATGAAGCTCCAGAGAGCTTTGAGAAGGATAAGAAGAAGGATAAGAAAGAGGAAATCCCTATGGAAGCTTCTGCAGAACCCTCTATATTTATGGAAACATCTAAGGAATTGAAGACCTCTATTCAGCAACATCCATGGAAAAAGACCACTTCAGAGGAAATAAAGGTCTTTTAGGAGCTCTTATCTATATGGGGATTCATAAATCCATCTGGACTGATCATTATTGGAGGAATAATCTGAGAGAAGGTCCTATTCATTCAGTTCAATCCTATATGACCTTGAAATGTTTTGAGCAAATCAAGCACTATTTCCATATATCCAACCCTCAAGAAGCTCGCCAGCCAGATTCCAAGAATAAAGATTGGTGGTATAAGATAGAGCCTTTGGCTTCTAACTTCCATAATGCCTGCCGGAAATATTACACCCCTGACTCAGAGATTTCCATTGATGAAATCATGATTAGATGCTTTGGTTGAAGTCAGCACACATATAAGATGCCTGCTAAGCCAATTCCTCAGGGATATAAGGTTTTTGGACTAGCAGAACATGGATATCTTTGGACATTTTCCTGGTCTAGCCGCCGGCAGGGCATAATGCCTATGTTTCAATTTCCAGGAATTACCAGAACTGGATCCATGGTCATGAATATGATTCAGCAGCTTCCTAAGATCCCTATTATTAGACCTACTGAGGAATCAAATACTAGACCTCCTACTGAGACTCCTATCATTGAAGCTTCTATCATCAAAGCTCTCTCTACTAGTGAAGCTCCTACTAGGCCTTCTGCTGAAGAGTCAGCTAATCAACAAGTCACTCCATACTCAATTTACCTAGACAACTACTTTACCTCTGTTCAATTATTTCACCTACTTTGAGAGCATGGCTATGGAGCTTGTGGGACTACCCACTCTAATCAGGTTCCTTCTATTCTAGCAGAGCTCTGAGAGCATTCAAAATCAAAGACTATTCCATGGAATACTCTACATGCTATGGAAGTGAATAATGTCCTCTGTCTAGTCTGGCAAGACAATAATATGGTATTAGCTCTTACTACTATTCATTCTTTTGACACCTTCATTGAATGATTTCAAAGACAGTCTGGAGAACTCTCTATCAATGCTCATATAGTCTGCCCAGTCTTTGAGAATCAACCTAGGAAGAACCTTCAGATTCCGAGGATTATTGATGACTATAATCATAATATGAATGGAGTTGACCTAGCAAATCAGTATAGAGCTTCCTATAGCTCTCATAGAGTGAGCTATCAGACCTGGTTGTCTATTTTCTATTGGATTCTGGATGCTGCTGTTGTCAACGTGTGGAGGCTTCAGTATATATATATGAAGCAGCAGGGAGTCTCTAGGCTTCCTACTCATATAAGCTTCTGTGAGAAGCTCTATCAGCAACTCTTTGAATTCAATTTGAAGATCCATGATGATCTACCCCATGAGTGATCAAATCTAGAGCTTATTCATCAATGAATTTCTCTACCAAAGCCTACAATTTGTGTCTGGTGTTGATATATGCGAAAGCTAGGTCAGCAGGAGAGTAGACAAGCTCCTAGATCAAGATCTGGATGCTCAGCATGTAAGAATGTGACTCTTTGCTTGAAAACTAGATGCTGGGAGGAATTCCATGGCATTGGCCAGAGCTGAAGAATCTATATAACGTAATTAGGCTTAGCTTATTATAATACACCAATACCAAATAGTACGCAATATTACGCCATTTAGCCAATAATATCACGTATAATATACACTAATGAAATCGCGCTAATTGTGCAACAAAAGACGGACGAGGGGATAGATCATCTTCTTTCGTATAAAAATATGCAGCCAAGAAAACTGAGTCCCTGCCACGACCAAGTCACAAGTTATCACTAATGGATGCCTCAAATAGGTTCAGAGAAACGAGCGGCAGTACGTAGTTATTGGCAGCATTTAGCGGAGGATCACAGCCAGTGGGGAGCACCATGTAACCTGGATAAACCGTGCACCATTAGGTAACTTTTTAGGAAAGACTCAAGAGAGATGTCATGATGTCTGCGTGGAGAAAAGATTTCATGTTGAGAGAACGTTTTGTGGTTTTGATGATGTTCATTGTTTTTTAGATGTGATTAAAGTTAGATGAGCCAATTTGCTTTTTATAGAGGTAATTAAAAATTGGTTTATTGGGCCATGGAATTGAATGATGGATGGATGCTGATGACCAACGATTTACCCCTCATTGAGAAGAGGAGAAAAGAGGGCGTTTGATGAGCGAAGGCTTTAATAGATGAGATGCTGAAACAAACGATATATGACGAGCTGGCAAATCGAACTATTGACGAGGTTGTCTAGAAATCATAATTGCTTCGCTGATTGACCGGTTCGATATTCCGGAAGTCGATCCCACCCACTGTGTAAGATTAAGCTGGCTCAAAACATTGGGAAAGAGATTGAGCAGTTGCCCCAATTACTCCATTTGACAATTTCTGGCTACCTTGGTACAGTCCCAGAAATTAATTAATTTCTATGAGATTATCGCTGGTTATTTCTCCATCATATCCACCTGAAAGGCTGAAGCATTTCCGTGGTATGAGCATGTTAATCTGCCATGACAATTGTGGAGTTGAGTGGAGTCTGCGAGATTCTGTCATTTTTATTACCCCGTAGTCTGACAGACAAAATTTTTGGTCAACGCAGTCCAACCCGTAGATGCAAGTAACTGGAGAGCGTAGAAGTCTCTGCCGATGATGATGTGCAGAGTCGTCGTTCCAGGCATGTCTCGTAACGTCGAATGTTCAAATAATCAGGCAGGAAAAATTTCAAGATAAAGAGGCCCAGGAAATAACTAGTCGGATTGAAAAAGAAAAAAAAAAAACATATATATATATATATATATATATATATCTCAAACTCGGGTGGCTCGTGTCCAGGGAGTAATAACAAACTACCGTTGTCGGCAGCTCTCAATTTCCACACAGTCAAATTGCAAATCTGAGCGTGTCGTGAGATGCCCCAAGACCTGGCAGTCGGTATTCGGGTTGTTGTGCAAGCCCCTTGGACACTGTGCAAAGCCACGAACCTGCAAAAACTTTGTGCCTGGTAATATGCCCGTAATAATACCGGTGGCTCTAATCACGTAGCTGCAGGGCGGCTCCAGCCAATCAGCAGCCTTTACGACCCTGCAATTTAGAGCTTGCCCCACCTGCCATCTAGCCCAGACGCTTCCTCCTGCTGCTGTTGTTGTTTGTGTTGGTTGTCTCTGCCTTCGTCTTGGGACTCTTGGCCGCGTCGTTTCCCTTTTCGCTCAGGCCAGTCTCTTTCATCCCTCGCATTCGGCTGTTCTCCTCCGCCAACTTCTTCAGCTCTTCAACCTCCCTCATCCCCATCCTCCTCTTCCTCTTCCTCCTCTCATCTCTCTCTCTCTCTCTCTCTCTTTTTTCACTCCCTCCACCCCCTCATCCCCCCCCCCCCCCCCCCCCCCCCAAACCCCCTCCCCTCTTCACCCTCCTCCATCCCCCACTCCTCCTTTTACTTTCCCCTCCCGTTTCCTTCTGTTCCTTCATTTTCTTTATTTGTTTCTCTATGTCTACCATTCCACACTCCTTTCATAGTCCTCTCGTTTTCCTTGGCCGTTTTGTAGTGGCCGTCCGCTCCTTACCTCCCCCCCGCCCAGATCCTATCAACATCAGCTTATGACAGCCTTTTAATGAATTTACCAGCTTTTAAACGCCGCACTACCACCACCACCACCACTACTACTACTACTACTACTACAGCTGGATGTCGACAGTTTTGTTCGGTATCCCAAGTTATTTCCCGTATCTGTTTTCCTATCCTGCGAAGCCGCCTCTGCTGGAGAGGGGTCCGATGTATATTTGGAGTGAGTAACGGCTGGGTTAACTGCAAGAAGGGGTTTAACCACGTTGCACCGGGTATTGGTTTGGAGGAGTTTCGCAATTGTCTTCTTCTGCAGCCATCTTCTGAGCGGATGAAGTTGTTTTAGTATATCAAGAAAAGCGACCATTGCGACCCGCCTGGACAACCCCTGCCTCACCAAGTGGTAATATTTATCGTCATCAACCACTTCAACCATGGCTACCATGTCTCTTGCGACCGTTCAGGCTCAGCCGCTGCCTCAGGACTCTTCTCGGTCTTCGTGCGAACGCCAGAATCACCTGCGACTGTCAACAACAGCTCCAATGCCTAACCCGCCTTTCATTTTCCCCCAACGCGATCCTCCTCCTTCAAAAGCTACCTCTCGTCATTCTCTCATTGCTCCGCCGCTTCCTGCGTTTTCATTTCCACAGGCACCCGATCCTGCTGCTTCTGCTGTTCCATCGCTACCAACTACGCCACATTCACGTCCCGTCGGCCATCGTCGACGGCCAAGTGAATTCAATGGCAGCCAGAATGTGCCGACATTGGGGCCTCCAATGTCGGAAGGCAACGTGTTTCCAATGCTGCCACCTCTTCCTCCTCCGGGGCCAGGACTAACTGGTCCTGGTCCTGGGAGACGTGGGCACTCCCACCGCCGATCCGCTGCGATTTTAAGCATGGATTTAACCGCAGTTTACCAAGGCATTTCCCCCAGTGCCAGTGGTCGGGAGTGCACCGGTAACTCCTGCGGATCTCAAACAACAATGTGTGTCGAATGAGGAAGCAGCAAGACCCGTCTCTCGTTCGTTCCCTAACCCTACCACTCACTCACCTCCCATCTCCCCTGGTTTCAGGCTATCCAGTCCGGATTTGAGTTCTCATTCTCCAACCCAAATGCCAAAATTATCTCCCCGTGCACATCGTCCACTCTCGACCATCCCGTCAGATGTCAGCATGTCTACTATTCGTCAGTATGCCAATGGAAGCCCTCTGTCCTTCATTGCTAACACCCTAACCACCGATGCGTCACCAACTCGTCCTAAAACTGCTGGAACTTTATTTGATAAGAAACCCGAAAACTCAAAGTCGGCAGAGGGAAGTCCGCCACAAAAGCGGCCACTTTCTGCCTCCGCTTCCGTCGCTGGATTAAATAAACCATTATCTTATGACCATGTGCCAGAACTTCCCCCTCTCAAGAACAACATCATCGAAGCTTACAGCCAATTCAGTAGCAATGCCATTCCAAAGGATGATTCTACGCCATTGCCTGAACTTGAACCAACTACATGTAGCTCAGATCGACCACGAAATTCTCCAGATAGGAAATCAAGCAAGAAACAGAAAAAGGTGCGTTCTTGGGCTGGTATTCTGACGCGAAAAGCAAAGAAGCGTTCGAACTCGAAAAAGCCACATTCCAAGAGAGCTCCTACTCCACCTCCAATTCTTACACGAACAAGCTCTGAAATTGGATCGATAGCCGAAATCAATTTTGACGATGACAATGTGGTTGTTTTACGGACACCAACGCTGCCTGATGCCCCGCGACAGACAGAATCTATTGAGCCTTCTCAAGGCAAATTTTCACTGGAATCCTCCTGGAAACCAAGGAGCTTTTACGAGCAAGGAACCGATTCAGATATGCTCAGTCCTGTAATAGATTTAGATGCCGCTCTTGGGCCCTTTAATACCCCAGAAATGGGATCCGACCGTAAGATTGGAAGTGGATTTTCAACTGCCACAAAACGAATGTATAGTGGTGGCCGGAGAGGTGAATTCATTGGACCTGAAATGCGATATCATCGTCGCGCTGAAAGTGCTCCGGAAATGCCTCCATTTGACCGTAGTTCACTTGGGCTTGCAAGATTTGGAGGAACCTCGACCCTTACCAACCCTGACGTTTTCTATGAGGAGGAAGAAGATGCATTCTTGGCTGGAAATGATGATCCCCCATCTCAGCCATCTACACCTGTGGCCTCAAACGACGAAACACAACCTTTTTTGGGGGGAGATTTGTCTGTAACGGTTACAGGTGTGCATTCGAACAATAGTAGTACCTCACAGGAACCTGGGCTGGGTATCCAGGTGATTGATTCCGAGGAGTCCCCAGCTGCGGTTGGTGACATTTCCAGTCAAACAACTAGCAGTGGCCCAGGGACCTCGCGGGCTATGGAGTCTCCCATCATCCCATTCACAGATGCGATTGGGATATCGGGCCATTCACAGAACCATTATCGTTCTGATGATATCGAGATTTTCGAAACCGATGATTGGCCTTCCCCTGCTGAAAAGCACACAATCTATCCAGAGAAACGTCCCTCCACCTCACCAGAATATGTCTACGTAATGTCCAGAACTCCAGAGTCTGATCTTCCCGTATCCAGCGGTAACTCTCCATCTCCAAATTCCACGAATACCTCACTCGAAGCTCCCCGTCTTCTGACAGCGTCTTCCACGCTGACAGATCGCAATACATTCCATTCCGGCTACAGCATGGATCATATAATCGACTATCGCCATCACTACCGCCATGACTCAGTCGAAGACGTCCCGTCATTGACAAGTAGCGCCTCCACCACAACGGGTACCATGTCTCAGTTATCATCAAGCTTCTACGCCCGCGCCCCTGGCGAATGGGTCTCGTCAGTCTCTACCTCCATCCCTGCTTCGCGCAGAACTAGCCGATCAAACAGCGCCAAACGATCCAGCCTCGTCAGTCTCTCCAAGCTTATAAGTGGGAGTGCCGGTGAGAAGAGCAAGCTGAGTTACGAGGAAAAAGCGCCTCGTGATGAAGTTGAGAAGACTGAGAAAAAGGGACATCGTCGGATAAGCCGGTTGATGCATTTCTGGAAATCAAAAGAGAAACGATATTTGGAAGCTGGTGGAGAAGCGGGGGAAAAGAATGCGAAACAAACGACCTTGTTAAAATTAACTGGTCGCACACTATAAACCGGGGACCCAAGAATGTCTCCATGTTTTCTTTTATATCTTTTTTTACGAGCATTATAAGGTCTGACAGTTACTAGAGCCATCTGTCTGATTATGCACATCATTTTTGCCAACCTTGTTTTTGTTCCCTTCATTTTTTTTTATATTCGCTTCTTCATATCTATTCATTTCTTTTCTCCCTTTCTGGCGTATTTTCCTTATCTAATTTCGTTATTATCTTTTTATCTCTTTTTCTAACTTTTTTTGTGCTCGATTGGCGGCGTAAATATCTGGCAACAACGACATCACGGATGGGACTATTGACTTACGGAGGCTTTTCTCTTTTGCTTTCCTGTTGCTCCCTTTAAACCACCCTTTCTGTGTTTTACCTACTATTTCTTTGATTATAAAAACAACACCCACCGAAAACCAAACAGCAAGCAATTCTTTGATCTTTTTCATCTCCTTTTCTTGTTTTGCTCTTTTTCTCTGAACTACTGGGTACCTAAGTGCTTCATCAACATGAATAAGCTTTTCAAATGTTTATTTTGTCAAGACTTAATTCTAAATCTCATCTCTTTCTTTTCATCTTATTTTTGTTGTCACTTGTGCTGAGGAAGAAATCCTTTCCGCATTCGCTTTATAAACAGAAATCTCCGAAGATGTTCCCACTAATCTCGGTTTTCTAGAGAAGAGAAGAGTGAATAGAACCAACTGATGCTTTTTTCTATCTAGTTTTGTGTGAACTCGGCTCTCTTCATAGACATATGAATTTTCCACAGATGTTGTTTTCTCACGTCCTTCATGAAACTTGCTTGTGATATTTTGATTTATTGAATTACTGCATGATTGCCATCTAGCTTTATAACTACATACTGAAAAAGCAACAATAACTTTTGGAGCAAGAAAAACAGCGAAGCTGTTAACATTCGTGACGACGGCAAGGGTATCGGACTGATCATGAAATCGAAAACCACACTAATAATATACTCGGTACGGTGAACATTGTTTAGTTGGGAGTCTCTCTAGCCATGATCCCACGGGTGATAGATGGGACCTCCGGGATCTTGTCTCTGTGGCCCCTTTTCCACATCGCAACTCGTCGCATTTGCAGTAAGCTAGCCGGGACACCCCCCGCATGTTTGATAACTCCCAAACCTACGCTCAAGAGCATCACGATTTCAACGGGTTACGCTTTTTAGCGGTACTTTTTGCATATGTTATTTGAAGATACGGACTTTAAATCTCAGCTTCTATTGTTGGAATCAACTCGGTCGTTGGCAGCTGGAGATACATGTTGAGTATCATCGCTACGATACATTTGGATGCTCAGCAAGTAGAATCAGTGAACTCACATATTTTGATGTCCTTGCTCTTAATTAATGGCAGAGGGGGAGAGTAGTCTCATGCAGGAACCAGGAAGGAAAGAGTATATATATATATATATATATATTAATTAAGAATAACTTCAATAAACCAAACATCCTCACCATTCCCTTCTCATATAGAACATATCATATACACCAACATACACTCTGTTCACAATTTCCCAAAACCCCCCTTCCCCCGCCCCCGCCTCCAATCCCATCAACATCAACACAAAAATCACTTCTCCACCGTCTCCTGCGAAATCATCAAAATAACCACCAGACTACTGACCATCAACGAGCCCGCAATAAACGCCACAAGCGCAATGCTGCCCCTACTCGCGGGAAACTTGCCACGAATAACCCAATACTGTCCCTCGAAATATCGATGGAACCCTATCAGCAGCACGATGATGGCGATGCAGAGGAATGTAGCGCCCAGGGGCTTTCCGAGGCTGCGGAGTCGCTTGCCGTTTTTGATTTGGGTGAGGAGTTCGTTGGAAGTTAGGATTGTTGGGTTCTGGGATGGCGGTTGCGGTTGCGGTTGCGGTTGCGGTTGCGGTTGGGGTTGCGGTTGTGGTTGGGATTGTGGCTGGGGTTGGGTTTGGGGTTGGGGTTGGGGTTGGTTTGCGGGGTATGGCGTGACCTGGTCTGTGAGGAGTTCTCTGGGGAGTGGCTGGAGGAGCCGGGGGGGAGAGGGGATATATTGCTGTGACAGTAGAGGATCGGCGAGGGTGGATGCTTGAGTTAGTGTTGCTGTGAGGAGAC